TAATAGCATTCAATAAATCACTACCACCGAACATAGGCACTGCCCCAGCCAGTCTCTTTTTAGGCTTAACCTCTTCCTCCTCCTCCTCCTCTTCCTCTTTCGGTTTCTCTTGAGGAGGTGAACTCCCAAATAATCCTCCTCCTCCATCACTCTCGTCTGATAACAATGTCGGCTTCTTCTTTGTAGTGGTTGGAGTTGGTTTATTGCTCATCGTGGAGAGTTGAGAGAATATGTCACCCTCGTCTTCCTCCTCATCAAAGAGGCCCCCAGCAACGGGTTTCTTGGGCTCTGGGGGCTTCTTGGTTGTAACGGGAGTCGCTTTGGCACTGCTGTTGTATTCTTCATCTTCACTGTCACCAACACTCTATAAATTAATATTAATAAATAATAATAATTTTACTAATTTAAAATTAACCTGTTTTGAAAACAAGTCACCTCCTGCAGGACCAAACATTGACACTCCCCCAACAGGTTTCTTCTTAGCTTTGCCGGTATCAGTTACGGGCGGGGCAGAGGGCGGAGACTCACCAAACAGACCACCAGAAGGTTCTTCATCATCGTCAAGAGTACTGAAAAGATCTCCTCCAGTGGGTGGAGGTTTCTTCTTTGCCGTTTCTTTTTCTTTCTTTGTGGTGCTTCCTGTCATCCAATCTTCTTCCTCTTCATTGTCATCTCCAAACAGGTTTGGCTCCTTTTTACCAGCTGGAGGCTTTGTCTCTTCACTCTCACTCGCTCTCTTGTCTCTTTTCTTCTTTTTACCACTTCCATCACGTTTCTTCTACAAAAGAATCAAAGTAACAATAAAAGTAAAAGACTACACAAATATTTCCAATACAGTTATACACAACATGAACAAATAATATCATTGTTCAGAGTACTTCACTTCATTTCTTACCTTCTTTGATTTCTTAGTAATTTCTTCCTCCTCTTTCTCTTCCTCTTCCTCCAGATCTTCTCCTCCAAAGAGCCCTCCCCCTCCTCCTCCAAACAATGGTACTGCTCCTGGTGGCAGCTTCTTCTTTCTCTTCCCACTCCCGGTCGATGAGACATTAGACTCCGCTCGGTCACGCCTCTCTTCTTCCTCTTCATCGTCGTCTCCTCCAAACAGTCCCCCTCCTCCTTTACGAGTGCTACTGAATAGACCACTCCCAGTTCCCTCCTCCTCCTCCTCCTCTTCACTGTCCCTGTGACTAGTAAACAGATCGTCTGTATGTACGTGTGTGTGGGCGGAATGTAAAGTCATGTGATAATCATGTGACTTAAGACATAATGTACATGCATGTACATGTATATGCATGTATGTACATGTACATGTACATGTACATGTACATGTACCTTGTTCACTCTTTTTCTTCTCTTTTTTGCTTTTCTTCTTCTCTTTTTTAGGTTTCTTCTCTTTCTTCTTTTTCTTTTTTGGTTTTTCCGATGGGACGGGCTCATCTCCTTCCTCTTCATCATCATCAAGACCTCCTACTCTCTTACCAAAAAGCTTTGAAGCCAATTCAGCTTGGAAATCAGTCTTTACCTATGGAAAAACAGAGCCTGAAATAACAG